ATTAAGGGCTTCTGGAGCCAGCAGATAGCATTGTTGAGCAAGGAGAAGCACGCAGAGCCCCATCAGCAGGTGCAGAGAATAGAAAAGTGGACTTCAGGCTTCCTGTTGGCCTCTAGGGTTTCCCTTCTATATAAGCAACACAGGACCTGAGCCTTCCTTGCAATGCATGAGCTGCAATGAAGTATCCCTGTTCAAGTAAACATTCTATTACATTTCATTTTGTAAGTATATATGAACTCATGACACTTCTTTTTCTATATATCAGTTTCACTTCATGGGTATTATAACTTCTATTCATCTTCAATTAACTTGTACATTTTATGAACTTAGTTTCTTTAATTCCATAACCTCAGCATTTAAAAATGAATCCTCTGGTATAAACTGAAATACGAGGAGATGTTAAATGAAGAAATTAATGGTGCACATCTGAAAATTAAATTTTTCACATCCTCTGAGCAGGGTGTGAGAACACTCAGCCCTCTCACATCTTCAGCACCTCAAGAAACACGGTCCCAAGGCTCAGGAACATCAACATATGGGTTCCTGCACTCAGATGTACAGAAGATGGGCAACCTGATTGGGTGCAAGGCATTTTCAGGGACCCTGTTGTGTTTTCTTACCCTCCTCTGAGTAGGATAGACTAATGTAATAGTTAGCAGGTCATATCCACTTGGGTAAAAATCACCCAACTAAATTGGATCAGCATGTTTATAGGTTTAGCAGAGAAAATTTACTCAAGATAGAAAACCTATGTTAGGGAGATTTGTTGTCTGAATAATACAAAAGGGAAATCAAGAAGGAGGGTCACTTGCGTCTCTTCAGAGGAGCTTCAGTCTTTATCTATGCTAAATAGTAAAACTAGACCCCTTTTTTCATCATGCAATAACTAAAGTGGAAATATATTGAAGATCTAGATATTAAAACAGAATCACTGAATCTACAGAAGATATAATAGGCAGAACTCATGAAGACCCTAATGTAGGCAAAGATTTTATGAGCAAACTCCAATAGCAATGAACTTTTCAAGAAATAAAAGACTGGGATTTAATCTTATTAAAAATATTGCCGAGCAAGAGAAACCTTGATTAGTGTAAAGAGTCAGTCTAGAGTGTGGGAAAATGTTTTGATAGCTGTTCCTCAGGAAGAAGACTCCCTTCTAGAATATACAAAGACCTGAAAAAGAAGTTAGAACTTCACAAATTTAAAGACAACATAAAAAATGAGCATATGAAATGAATAAAAAAACTCACATAGGAATTAGAAGTGATTATATCAAAAATATTCAGTATCATTGGTCATTTGAGAAATAAAAATTAAAACAACACTGAGATCCTATGTCACTCCAAAACTGATGGCTATTTTCAACAAATCAAACAATGACCAGTGCAAGGCTCTGAGGAATAAAGTATGCTCCCCTACCATTAGAGGGAGTATAGGCTAAAGAAATCAGTGTGGAAATTAGTGTGGTTATTCCTTAGAATGCTATGATTAGCCACTCCACTTGACCCAGTTGTTCCCCTCTTTGGTATCTTCCCAAAAGAATTAAAAACATCCTACTATACTGACACATGCACAACCATGTTTATAGCAGCACACATTGTAAAAGCTAAACCTTAGAAATAGTCCAAATGCCCATCAACTGATGAATGAATAAAGATGTGCATTTTTTTATATAATGGTTTTACTCTAAAGCAACAGAAAAGGAAAATCTTGAGACACTTCTAGGTGAATAAGTGCAAATTGAGAACATACTGTTCAGTGAAATAAATCAGACACAAAAGTGTAAATGTTATTTTTTCTCTAGTGTGAGAAATGGGGACCAAAGTATAAAATAGTTATTGTGGAAAAGGAAGACAGTGTTAAAATGGGAAAGGAGAGCTTTGAGTTGTGAGGGGAAAAGTGAGACAAAGACAAGAAAGAACTAGAGTCTTCTTAAACAATACCATATTACACAAGTTGAATAACAAGTTCTGGTAAAAATAAATGATCACATATAGCTCCATCGTCATTTACTTATAGCTATTACTGTCATATATACTGTGAATCCAAGAATACGGTGTTATTATATTAACAATGTTCTATCTTCTATCTTCAACTGTTAAGAAAGAAAATGATTTTCTATGACAAAAACTCTCCAGAACTGTAACACCATTCATAAAATATATTCAAAAAATGAATGAAAACTAGCGCTATGAAAACCTTTATAACCTCCACATATCAATTGTTTAATACATGAAAAAAATAAATAAAATGTTAGGTGTGAAATTGCAAAATTCAAGAGTCAGCAAGACTAAGCACCTGATTATGCACGCACTGGGACTGGGCTTCGACATCCTGCAATACACGCTGTGCTGCCCCTGCCGATGAGCACACTGCGCCAGTCACTGAGACTGGGTATGATTGTGCACACCTGCATTCCCAGTGTGGAGGAGGCTGAAAACAGGAAGATCTTTATGAGTCTGAGCTCTGTAGTGAGACCCTGTACCAAATACATGAAACTAAGCTAAACTAAAATTAAATCTAATTAAAAAATTCAAGAACAATATAACTAAGTTGTAAAATGTAATACAGATGAAGCATAAAATTCGTTATCTTATAAAGGGAGAAATGGGGGGCTGGTGAGATGGCTCAGTGGTCTAAAGCACCTACTTAGAACAAGCTTAGCAAAGCACAGGGACCGCGGTTCAATCCCCCAGCACCACATGCCAGCTAGCCCCGCCCCCTGGTGGGCTGAGCTGGCCACACACACACACACACATGCAAAAATAAATAAATAAAAAGAAAGCTTCTTAAAAAAATAAATAAAGGGAGAAATGACTTGAAAAAGGCATTATATTCCCAAGAAAAAAAATGGGATACATTGATTGTATAAACAGGTAATAGTTTAGTCAACTATACATAGCTGTAATAAATACCTGAAATAAATCTTACAAAATAGAAGCCTTACTTTGTCTTGGCACTTTACTATATCATGTGTGTGTTTGTGGAGCTGTATTAGTTTCTGACTGTGGTTTGATTTCCCCTTTAAAGGACACACTAGCTGTGATCTGAATTCCTTCCACTGAGACTCATGCCACTAAAGTCAAATATCTCCATGTGGTGCAGCTTGCTGAGCCTTCATCATATAACTGAGTGACACTCATGTTAGAAATGACAACACAAATCAAAAGAATCCACATATGCCATGCAGTAACTACAAACAACAAAGTCATTTTCCACTGAAATACAACATATCCTAAAATTCACTTGAAATTATCACACACAAACCCTTCCAACCGGAAGGGCTAAGTGTATAAAATGGAAAATCAAACTACAAATACTACACAACATGTATTCAGTTTACATGTGAGAGACAAATATTTTTCAATTAATACTGTTAATAGCTAACTACCACAAAAAAATAAATGTTGAAAATGAATGAAAAATTACACACATTTCACCAATAATAACATGGAAATTAGAAATGAGAATTTGGAAATAGGTATGGCATTAGCTTTCATTGAATAAGATGCAGCTTAGAACAATAAAAGCAATCATAAAAGTAGAAAGGAGAAAACAAAAGAAAAGGATGATAAATGAAATGGGAGATAAATGGATATAATGGAGTAAAAAGGTAATTGTGTGCTTTATGCATGTACAAACATAACAACATAATAGTCCCCAAACTGTACATATATTATGCACTGATATTTATTTTATTCTATTTAACTATGAATTTGTTAAAGGGACTCCCTATGCAGTTCAAATTCATAGTGACCCTCCAGTCTGAGACAGATGTATTAAAACGCAAACACTAAATATTTGGGAAGAGAATATAACAAGAACTCTTCCAGACGTACGTGTAGGCAGAGCGTTCTTGAAAAGAACAAAACCTGCATGGAAAGAACTTGAAAGAATCCACAGCTGGAATGTCAGCTTATGATAGTGTTTTGACATGAAAAGAAACAATCAACAAAATGAAGGAAAACCCACAAAATAGAAAAAAAAAATTGGCAAGTGGTCCTACAGACAAAATACTTCTGTATAAAAAATACAGAGGCCTGAGGAGATGATTCAGTAGACTAAGTGCTTCCCTGGCAAGTGAAAGGACCTGAGTTCAATCCCCAGTTCTGCAAAAAAAAAAAAAAAAATACAAAGAACTGAAAAAGTCAGACCATCTTATTCAAGGCAATCCAGAAATGGGCGCTTGTGATGAATACACACTTCTCAGCTGAAGAAATGCAAATGGCAAATAAGTACATGAAAAATGTTAAACACTGTTCACCATTTGAGAAATGCAAAAGGAAAACAACAATGAGGTTTAATCTCACCCCCAAAAAATGGCTGTACTCAAGAAATCAACTGCTGATGGAGCTGCAGGGAAAAACAAATACTTCACTCTTATCAGTGGGAGTATAGTTTGGTTTCACCACTGTGGGAATCAGTGCAGAAACATCCCAACAACTAGCATTTTAGGTCCTATTCAGCCCAGCTGTTCACATTCAAGGTTTTATTTCCAAGAAGAATTCAAAATATCATGTCAGAACAATCTTCATGTACCGAGGATTATAGCAGCACAATTTTCAGTAGCTATATCTTGGAAACAGCCCTAATGCCCATCAATCAAGGAATAGAAAAAAAATGTGGAAAATTTATATACTGCAGTATTACTCAGTTACTAAGAAGGATAAGCTTGAGAATTTTGTAGGTAAGTGGATGCAATTTGAGAACATACTTATAAGTGAAATGAATCAGATTCACAAGTTCAAAGATCATACTGTCTCGCTGGTGTAAAAATCTGAAAGAGTAACTGAGATCCAAAGTGTACATTGGACGCTGTGAAATGAGATGAAACTAATCAAAATGAAACAATAGGGATGGGACAAAGAAAAAAGAAGTAAAGGGAAAAGAATATGTATATCTGGTCCTGGATATATAGCACAAGGCCATGCAAATAAGGCCTCCTTCTGCTGATGAAAACCAGCCCAGCTCTGACCTGAGGCTTTGGATTAGAGCTCAGCCTTGGAGGCCAGCAGTCACCACACGGTGGTCAGGACTGAACACAGACAGCTCATCATGGAGCTTGGGTGGAGCTGGTTTGTTCTGCTTGTCATCTTGAAAGGTAAGTTATTTAAAGCAAAATATTTTGAGCATCTCATGGGCATGAGTAGGATAAACATTGGACCTTTGAGATGATTTCCTGAGCTGGGTGTGTCTGTCTTTGTAGGTGTCCAGGCTGAAGTGCAGCTGGTGGAGTCTGGTGGAGGCTTGGTGCAGCCTGGTGGGTCCCTGAGACTCTCCTGCGTGGCCTCAGGATTCAATTTTGGGGGTTACAGCATGCACTGGATCCGCCAGGCTCCAGGGAAGGGGCTGGAGTGGATCACATTCATCTATTATGATGGTAGTGATAAGCAATATGCAGACTCCGTGAAGGGCCGATTCACCATCTCCAGAGACAACAACAAGAACACCCTGTATCTGCAAATGAGCAGCCTGAGGCCGGAGGATACGGCTCTTTATTACTGTGCAAAAGACACAGTGAGGGGATATCAGTGAGAACTCAGACAAAAACCTCCCTGCAGGTACCCTGAAGAGCAGAAGGGGGCACTGTGTTATAAGAAACAGGCCAGGCCTCTAGAACAGGTGCAGGAAAGGAAGCCTTTGAGTGAGCGCTTCCTATGGGACTCTTGGGTTCCCCTTCTGTATTCCCATTATAGAAGCAGAACAGACCCTGCAATGCCTGAAATGCAGTGAAGATTCCAAATTCGACTAAACATCATCTGTTACATTTCATTGCACAGGAATTTTACTCCATGAGTCAACAGGACTTCTACTCATCGCAAATATCTTACATGTTCTGTCGTCACTTTCCACATCAAGCTCTTCATATCACTGTGATCATATAAACTTGAGTAAGCCAATTGTACACTAAGGATAAGGAATTATTTCACACATAAATAAATCTTTCAGGACATTGAATTAAATCTTCTAAATCCCTCTCCATTCTGACATTGTGCAGGTTTCTCCTGCTGTAGAGCAACACTGGTCATGTTAGGCAGCCTCAGACCGAGCACCATGGGGAATATAATTTCATCTCCTAAGGGACTTCAAAACTCGCCTTGTTTATTTCTACATTATACATTGTGCTGTTGGATAATTTTTGCATATGTAGGGAGGTTGAAGAGCCGGTACACAGAATCGATATAACTGCCTAGCTATCCTCCACATTCACTGTCATAATGTGCAAGTTTGGCTGCTCAGAGGAGAAGAAAGAGTATATATAGACATATCTGAGTTCAATGTTTAAAACCCACAGCCACTGCTTATGTTCATTAGAGCCTTAGGGAAAACAGGTGTGATCTTCCCCTTTGTGGTTCTTGATTTCAAATTGGCGACATGAGAATAAAACAGTTGTAAGCAAACATTTACTCAAGAGTTCTGCCCACAGGACAGGGAAGAAAGAGGTGCATTTGTTAGGTGACATATGTCCTTTTCATCCTGTTCAGTTCATAAGAGGTTTTGAGAACACCTTGGCCTAGGTTATTTTCTGAAAATTACATGCTTTTAATCTGCTGATTTTTATGTCTCAAATATGCACCAATCTTTGCCCAATCATTCTAGGAGTGCTGATGTTTTATGAAGAGAGTCCCTTTGTAATTTTCAGTTCATTTTAAATGAGCTCTTTGCTAGGATATGTCTGCAGTTTTCCTTTTTTCATTTTCTACGTAAGAGAGGGATATTGGGTTTGATACAGGAATATCCACATGATTTCCAAAGGGTCAGTCCATTGGAATAGCACACAAAGTACTCTCAAGACTGCAAAAAAAAAGAGCTGATCATACATTATTCTAATGCCTTCTAATGTGAAGGTAGAGACCAGGAAATAAATGTTTAGGATTTAGCCATCGGCAATGTCAAAGAAATAATCCTGTATAACGTTGTGAAACTCCATTTCAGGTCCATGATGTTGGATGTAAAGTCAACCCTGAAAGTCATCCTCTAGAAGATATTGAAATTCTGCCCAAGATTGAGCATGGACAAAAGAAATAGGAATAATGCACACTGAGCAAAAAGTACTGTTACTGGTAAGTTGACTACACGTCCATAGAAATTAGTGTTGTTTGCCAAGCCAGTTGACCGCTGCCTCAAAAGTAAGAAGACATTCTATAATTTCTTTATCAATATTAATGGGAGTCATTTACTTGAAGGCATTAATTAGTTGTAAACTTCTACTTATAGTTTTTGCAGCTTTGATGAAATAAATTGAAGCACCTGCTATAGTCATAAAAAAATTAATGATGGATATATTATTATGTAAACATGTAATTACATGCATACTTTTACAAAAGCAATCCTTCCATGTCTCAGACTTACTAGTATATTTTTCATTGCTTACAGAATTTGCAAATTTTTTCTCCAAAATAGGCAAATATTTTCTTTTCCTAAGTGCCTACTTCAGTGTGCTGCATCACTGGTTGTGACCTCCAGCCCCAACATTCACACTCTGATTTCCTCCTTCTCTGCAGGCTGTTATTTGGGTGTTGCTGCTCCGGGCTGGACAATCAAGGGAAACTTCAGCTGAGACCAAAGATGTTTCTTCTCCAAGGACTCTTGCACTGGATCCAACACCTTACCAGTTACAATGTTAGGGTGGAGATCAGAGTCCAACATTGAGGTGCTGAATCATGTAAGGACTGATCCTTCTTGCTTTCAACACAGCTGAGGAACAAATCAGTGAATCCATATAAGACGGCCAATTGGATGATGACTGTCAACTTGGTTAGAAGCTTGCTTACCACCTACAAAACTCTCTCACAGGCCTTGCCTTCATGTGGCATAGACCCAAATCTCAGGCAAAATGCATGAGGATTGCATAAGAATTCAAAGCATGTTCTTATCCTGTATGTGGCAAATAATATCCTCAGCTCCTTTATTTATCTTTATTGATTGCAATAAGGTTACTTTGTATGACTTTGTTCATACCATCACCCTTCACCATAGCCCAGATATAAAATCCACCGTGACTCTCCACATAATGGTGAATACATCAGCGATTGTGGAACTTATCTTGGCATTCAAGAATTCTCTTTTATTTCTGTTGCCGGCTCTGTCCACCCTGGGTTCGGAGCTGGTGTGGCATGTGGTTGGATCAAACTGTGTCCCCTGAGCAGGTGCTTTAGACATATGAGTTATCTTACCAACCCCTTCATCATTCTATAGAAATATTTTCTATCATTCACAAAAATTTACATGATACTGGAAGCGACTGTATTAAGAAATTTTATGTTGAAGCTACACAGAGGGAACAAACACGTTCTCATTTACAAGCAGAATTCACAGTTTTCATCCAAATAGTTCAGTCTATTAAAATGCCTGCAAGCAGGCAGACGGCCCAGGGATTGGATCCCCAGGGCTGCCTGACAGCACAAACCCCCGGGGCTCACTGAGAAGGAAATTGATAATCCCTGCTCTTGGGAGGCTGTAAACAAATGGACCACTACAAATTCAATCTAGTAGTGAGGCCCTGAACACCCTGTACACCCTTCCCTACCATCCAGCAAAAAACATAAGAAAAGTAAAACCATATTAATATTCTGAGCTGTAAAAGGCTCAAGTATATAAAAAATAAGATAGATATACAGCTACTTTAATTCAATGAGAAGGATTTCTACTAATAATGTTTAGACAGCATATCATGTCTGCATCGTGTACTGTGAATGCCTACTCTGAAGGCAACCATATGCAATGTATTAATTACTCTAACTGTCCTATTTACCTGTGTTGAAATTGTCTCAGTTGCTATTTGTTTCTCAATAAAACTAATTTAAAAAACGAAACAATGTAAAATCAAATAATACCGCATGTCTTAAAAAATAAATAAATAAAATTAACACAAAAAATTTTTTTTGATTCCAGGGTCTGGAACTTAGGGACGATAAAGATGTTCATCAAAGGATGGAACATTCTCATTAGACAGGGGGAATGTCTTCAAAAGTGCTCTCTTCATCATGTTGAGTAGAGTCAGTACTCAGATATTGTATTCTTCAATTCAATCTACTAGGATGCATTTCAAGGATTTGCACAAAAAGTGCTAATTATGTGATGTAATCCATTTTTATTTTGCATATGTGACCATTCCACAGTGTATAAATAGTTGAAAAAATTGCATATGTTGAGAAACTTTAAAAGTCACTATCACTCTCTGTGGACTGCTTCAGTATTACATTTCTACAAATTTAGTGTTCAGCTTATAATTGATCCATTTCAAGTCTTATGTGTTAAAATCCCACAATAGTAACATGCCACTGAGATTATTCAACATGAGAAATATCAGAATAAGTGGCATTTGTTAAGGGATCATTTATTCTACATGTTCATAACTATAGCATATCTCATATTTTGTGAAAAGATGACATAAAATCTTTTAAGATATAAGGTTAATTTCCTTTTCAGTAGAAAATATACTACCACATGAAAAAGGAAAATGTATGTTGGTAACACGGTAATAAATATAATATTTCTTGCTATAATAATGAATATATCACTTAATAGCACTCTCTTTGTTCTAAATATTCTTTTTATATTAATTTTATTGAGAAAGAAATACAATTGAGACAGTTTCAAAGCAAGTTAGTAGGTCTCTTACAATAATTAAGACAACACATATATGTTGTCTTTGTAGTAGCTCTTCATAATACTAGATGCACATATGATATCTTGTATAAACACTATCAGTACAAATCTTTCTTCTCATTGCACTAAGAGAAAAAGGTTCTTGATATTCAGTACCTAAATTTTCCCTCAAAGAACTTTATGATAAGCTATAGTCATTCCTCTCATACTAAGTTGGAATTATTTGAATAAGAGAGTGAAGGAGGAGCACCTTGATGAACACAATATTTACAGACCTGTTAGATGCAGATGTAAAGTGCCTCACACTTATCCATCAGACAATGTTCTCACCATGGTTCCTGGATTAGTACTAGAACTGCTGTTAAATTTTTATTCCTGTTTTAAAATTTTGTAACATATTTATGCTTCTTTGTTCCTCTATTTTAGTCTTTGCTTCTTCTATTTGATTTTGTGTTTGGATTTGATTTTACTCTTTAAAATACAAGTAAATGATGAAATATTTTTTAAAATACAATAAAAATAGAAATAGTGAGGAATCAAAAAGTTTAAATCCAAATTATGAGGGACAGGGAGATGGCTCAGTAGAATAAGTGCTTCCTTGGCAAGGGCAAGGGCTTGAGTTCAATGTATGGTTCCGGAAAAAAATAATCCAAATTATGTAAAATCTCAACAAAGAACCCAAATGATTAATGCATTGGTTATCAAAAACCCTACAAAAGAGAAGAAACTCAGTACAATGCTGCATAATGTGATTTTATCAAAATTGTAAATTTTACATATTATACCCTTTTATCAACAAAGAAAAAAATTTTATCAGTTATAAAAACATCCATGTAAAAGAGAAAAATAGGATTAAAAGCTTGCAAAATCATTTTAATATCTGAGCTGTGAAAGGCTCAAGTCAACAAATTCTTTTTTCATAATTTTATTGAGAAACAAATAGCAATGTGACAGTTTCAAGTCAAATTGATAGTACAGTTTCAATAATTAACACTTTGCATACTCTATTCCTAGTGGTTATTTGCTGTGCAAGATGCAGACATGATATCCTATTTGCGAACACTATTAGAACAAATCTCTCTATTCATTAAGAGAATGTTACTATATATCTATCCTAACCATTTTGAATATACAGATACAAAATGGACAATCATCTGTATCCCCTTTTCCATTTAGTTCTGTTATTTGAATATTATAGGTGTGCTAACTCAGCAAAATATCCTAAAAGAGTCCAGTAGTCCATAATAGTATTGGATCTTCCACTTGACTGGCAATGTCAGAAATTGTTGACCTGAGTCCTCTACAGCTCAACATAAGAGCATGGCTTTACTTCCTATACTTCGTTTCTATACTTTTCTGCTGGATGGGTATGACCAAGATAAAACAAGACTATGCAACAAGAGTTGTAGCTTTTGGATCTGATAATGTCAATGAAATCTCCTCAGGATTTATCCTGAGATCCTGTACCTCAAATTGCAGATCCTTTTTCAGTGTCAGCCATGTGGATGAGTCATGGCCATTGCTTGGCCAATGTGCTCTCTGTGAAAGCCTGAGAGAGTGTTTTCTCTCCATGTGAGTCTCCTTAGGCACACTCTACATCTTTGATCACTTTCCTCTGTGGCCCCATAATCTCCTTGATCAGAAAATTTGGGACATCGCTGAGTTGCAGGATGATATAGGACTGGTTTGCCTATTTCCTGAGTCCTCATTGACCTTGAAAAAAAAGTCATAGGATTGTCATGCTATAATGCTGTATATGGTTAGATTTCTAAATTTCTGTGTAAAAATATGTAATTGTTTATTCCTAATTGTTAAATTTTTTTTTTCTTTTTTTCTTCACATTGTGTAGGGATTTAATGTTTAACATATCAATACTTGATGGAAAATACCTGTTTCATGTTATGTCTAAGATGTTTGATATTGAGACAGTATGGTTAAGGTAAACTGCCTATGTGGTAGGGAATAACATCAGTAAGCTTCTCTTCTGTAGGGTTAGCAACTCAAGTTTGCAGACCAAAAATTAGAGAAAAATTTTGGCCCTAGCAGTCTACATTTAAAAGCACATTTATTTAAATATATATTTTTCTTAGTATTATATCATTTATTTCAATAATTATACCAGTTAAGAGACACAGTAAAGAACCAAAAATTAAAATCCACACTGTGTAAAGTCCCAAAATGACTCATTCATTGGCTAGCAAAAAGCCACCTCAAAAAAAGAAGTCCAGTTTAATAAAATACTGCATAACAATTACAATTTTATGTAATTGAAATTGTGCATTGTGCATTTTGTATCCTTTTCCAAAACAAGAAAAATTATTTTGGTATGGTAAATAACATGCATAAAATCAAAATTAAAAAATGCATTTAAACTTGTAACAATGAGTACAAATAGATTATCTTACATAGTTCACATA